ACGACGTACCTTTGTTTTTTGGCTTTCATCATATTTAATAACATTCTTGGTCGGGCTTTTACCTTGATCTCTCTAAATGAGCTTCTTCTCTTGGGCCATTTCCTTTCTGGGGCCATTTGAATTGGGCTACACATTTTGTGTGTTAACAGATAAAGACTCTGGTTTTACTCCTTTCGGCCGGCAAATATGTCTAAGAATGTAGAGTGCAAACTAATTGTTTAAATTTAGGTAGATATTATCGATGTATGTTCTTTTATCATGAATGAGATGACTATTAGATCTTTCAAATGGTTTATATGTCATGTGTTAGTTCTGTTTAAAAAATATTTGCAATCAAGTAAATATATTTATGAACAGATGGATCATATCGACTTGAAAAATGGAAAGATTTGTTATAGTTATATATTTCATCGGATCTTGCTACATATACATTAAGAATTATATAATGAATTACATAATGTCATATAACATTCTACAATTTATCAATTTAAAACATCATTTAAGTTTTTCATTCAATATTTTCCTTCCACGTCATATTATGTAATTCATTATGTTCATTTTTTTTATGTAGAATGTAGCAAAATTATATTTCATCACCGCTTTGTGAAAAATAGTTAGGTATGATATGTTTTATAGAAGGGCAAAACCGTAATTGACATAAACTTGCCTTCCATATAGCCCAATCACCAAAATTTAATGTTAAAAAGGAAAAATTGGCGAAATAGCACTATGTGGTGACAACTAATGAATGTAATTTGACCAATATCTTTGAGAATCTAATTTTCGATACGATCTCACAATCAGAGTTGTCGGAACTACTTTTGAATTTTTTTTCTATGATAATCTAGAATCTCCAAATCAGTCAAGAAAACATTAATTGGCACATTCTTCACATCCAAACACTAAAACTTCTATTACAAACAGTAGAATTGATTGCTTATTTTCAAACTGTCGAACGAAACGTTTGTCTTGGGTGTTAATACCTCAAAAGACACGAGTGTAATACAAAAATACAATACTATGAGTAAACAACATATTTTAGTCATAGAGGTTGCTCTTGACGGACATATACATCATAGAAACTGTAAATATGAAGGTCGATCCATTAAAGTATACGATCAGTAAAACTTATACCCTTGAAGAAGGTGAGAGGTTATAGTCGAGATTCCAAAGCTCGAAAGAACCCTTCACAAAATCATAGTGTCCGCCCTTCAAAGAAAGGCTTTTGTTCACCACGGCTTCTCTCACAAATTGGTACGTTAATAAGTTTCCAAGCGATGCATTGACAGCCTCCTGTTTGGTTGCATAAGAAAATATTAACGAGTTTGATCCACACTAAAATAAAATGCTACTAACCAATAGAATCCTAATTTTATTCAATGACAAAATATGTATTGAGTAAATAGTGACGATTTTTAAACTAGCAAGTTCTTAATATTAAAAAAAGTTCCGAAGTACATGTACATAACATCAAATACAATCTAGCTTAATTCATTTCTTTCGTTAAGTTTTATAGAATTGCGGTTTAGATTATAAGCTAGTCAGCTAGGTCGGGCGTCAATATTAGCGAACCTTAGTATATTTTTCCTAATTTTTAACATGAAATGGAGTGACTATCTCGAGATGGCTTAGTTTGGAGTTACCTTCTCCAGGTGCCTGCATTGAGCATTGAAATCCAAATCGCCACATTCTGCTTTCACCTTAGCCTTGGCAGACTTACCGATTTTGACCCAATCTTCGATAAAATCACTGAATCGTAAACAAAATGCACAAGAATGAGTAGTTTCTCAGTAAAAATAATTTACTACCTGGTCTAAAGTTAAAGAGTAATGCTATTCATCTCCACTGGAGTTACAAACACAGTTTAGGTGGCGTTAATGTGACATTAATTGATATGTAAAATTAAATAAGTCATTTAATTTCACTTTTTCTTTAACCTATCATTTAGAATCACCTAAACTGTGTTTGTAATCCCACTGGAGATGAATAACATTACTCAAAGTTAAAACATTTTAACATTATTGATAGGTATCCATAATTCTAACCTAAGACTCTGTTTGATGCACGTTATTGCATGGAGAACGTATTTTAAATAGTGATTGATGGAAAATATATGGTTAAAAATGAGGAAAAATTTTAGATTTACATGTAATATTATTATTATTATATTAAAAAATATGTGATTAAAAATATATTTAAAAAAAAGAATTATTATAAGAATGTGAATCAAAATGAAGCCATAAAAAAAAGTCAACACTTTCAAGCTTTGAAGGTCTTTAAAAAATCATTGTACCACTAACTTAACTTATAAGTTACTTAATAATTGGGTGCATACATCTTCTATAACAAAAGATCAATTCGACAGTGCCAAAAGAAAGTTTAGTACAAAGCACCTTTTTTTCTACTTTTAATCATAATATTAAACACAAACCTTTGAGTGGTACCGTCATCAGGAATGGACATCAGTCCTTTTATACCGCCACAACAGCTGTGTCCGATAACCAGAATATTCTCCACCTAAAATAATTTTGAGATCCCGCATAAATAAATATGAGACAAATGGAGAAAATACAAAACTCTGGCGATGTTAAAATGAATATATGGCATTGGCTACTTAATCCATATGCATGCAGGAAAAAGAAATTAAAAAGACAAAAAGAGAGAAAGAAAAAGACTACAACGTCTTATGATTCAAAAAAGCAAGTCGTGATCAGCCGTAAATCAAAATTCATTTCTATTCAAACCGAATTCATATCAAAAGCCATTGATTATTCACATTGTTGAATCATACCAAGCACGACTCTAAAAATATCGTTGTTGAATCAAATGATAACAATTTGCGTTCAAGAATTGACTTTGGAAAATCAACTTTCTTAAGCTATAATTAGAAATTTATTCAAAATGAATAATGTTAGGTGGGCATGTAGCAAAGTTGCACTATTGAAAATGACATAAAGGTGTACATGGGGTAGGTTTATTGACTTATAAATTGTAATTCATTTTCTCATTTTACCATCCACCAGTTCTCCCACAGGAAAGGAATCTTCTTTATTAAAGGATTGAGTTGACCAGTAAAATTAAAGAGGCCAATCCAAAAGAAGGGCTCATTGTAATCACCTTCAGATGCAATACTGCATATTCAATGGCTGCCCCCACTCCAGAATACTTCGACTGCCACAAATCAAGTCAAACAAATATTACTCCATATATTGAAAAACCTAAAGATTTTTTTAAATTTACGCATCAAAGGGAGGTGTTTACAAAATTAAAATATTGATTGTCGAGTTCAATAGTGCGATTGAGTTAATGTTACCGGGTCATATGGTGGAACCATGTTGGCAATGTTACGGACCACAAACGCCTCCCCAGGTTGGAAGTTAAGGATATGGGACGGGCATACTCGAGAGTCAGAGCAGGCAAAGACCAAGAACTGCGAGAAAATCAGCAAGAATTAGTTCAAATTAAATTTCTTGTATTTCCACCCCTATTTACATTGTTTACAGTATATAGCTTGATGTACCTTTGGGCTTTGGCCTGTCTTAAGTTTCTCGTACAAAGCAGAATCCTTCCTAGAAATACAAAGCGAAGATGATGTTATTTTTTCTTGTTGAAGATGTAGGCTGATTCTTAGATGTTTCACTGAAAAATCATATACTTCGTGGACTATTTTAAGCCTTTGATCTACACATCCATAATGACTTGCCCCAATTTTCTATTCCAAATTAAATTATATAATTATGTTTGATGATGAAATATGGTAGTGTCTACAAATAATTGAGTCAAATACGTTGAAAGTTTAGCATTTATCAATATAGTAACTCGGGACCATACATATCTAGCCCTAAATAAACTTTCCCTATACATTTATAAATTATATATAAACAATTAAATCATTTATTATTCGCACATTTTGAGGTATTTACTAGCATTATCTACTTATCGATCATTCGTTTCTATTTATTTATAATTCTAACACTTACCATACATGCTTAAAGAGAAGCAAATTTTTTTCTAATGTTATGTTTCAAGCGAACAATTGGGTAATTATTTGATTAGCAAACGATGGAATATAAGGAATAGTTAATGGATCATGCTACTTGTACAAAGTTAGGTTACAAAATTGGTTTACAAAATTCGTGTTGGCAACATTTTGACCAATGATTTAAAAACAGTTTTGAAATCAATGACCTGAATCTTGACATGTCCTTTTGTCAACACACTTTTGTAAAGAATAATATTATTCATCCCCACCTAAACTGTGTTTGTAATCTTAATGGGAATGAATAGCATTACTCGTGTGTAAATCATTTGTGTACAAGTAGCATAATTGATAGTTAATAGCATATCCATGAATCTGGGCAACTTTGGTGCCAATAACGAGGTACAGTAACACTTTTCACAAAGTACAAAATTTTATTCATTATTCTTCCCTTATTCAGGTGAT